CATTGTACCCGAACCCAAATAGACGGCCTTTCTTGGATCCCCCAACCGCCTCATTCCACAAGTCAGTATCAACTAGGGGATAGGCCGAGGGATCATCGCCGTACTTTTCGGTGAGATTGTTTGAATAGGTATCCTGTGGTTTAAAAAAATACTACCAGTCACAAATCCGTCAGAAATCCGTTGAAAAACCGTTTTAAATAATTTTAATTTTTTTTTTCGATAAATTCAGTGGGGGATTTGTGGGGGATCTTTGGCGGATATGGATAAAAGTTGACTTTTTTTGACTTTTTTGGTATCCGTCGGTAATCCGTCGGTAATATTTCCGACGGAATTTCCGCCAGAAAAATCCGTCGGTGATACCCTTTTTTTAGTAGTGTGAATAGAAAGTGCCATCCCATTTTCTTTGTTTCTGATTAAAGTTTTACATGATGTAACTAATATCGGAATTTTATGTTTGATAAAAATATACGCTGACAAGTTCAAACGAAAGAAATCTCCCATCGAATTGGGTACTTGTTGGGTCGATATATATATCGATTTCCGTGTTATTTTTATTAGTAAGTATTTAAAATCCAGAGTAAACATTGAAAAATGTGTCCAGAAAAATAAAAATGACAAATCTGTTAAACAAATTGTATGAAGAATCACGTGGAATACAAAATTGATCAAGTAATTTCAGTGATATCTATTTTATTTTGGGGTTCTTAGGGGGTGTTTGGGATTGCTTATAAAAACAACTTATTGACTTATTCTAGTGTAACACCGGTAATAAGCACTTTTAGGTGTTTGGATAAACAGTTTATACCGATGTCAAACCGGTAATAAGAAGTTTTTGAAGAAGTTAAACCATTCTAAAAGAAAAACATAAGTTGTTTTCAAATAAGCAATCTCAAACACCCCCTTAATTGTCCAACAATTTAATTTATGAAAAATAGGTTATATATTTTTAGCTTCAAAAATATTAAAACATACTCATTTTAAAATATACTTTCATATTCTAAAAGTACAATTATTACATTAAAGTAACATCAGAAAAATAAGTAAATATAGAACGAATAACAAAGCGTACGATGATGTATTTGTTTGGCATTATTTATGCATTTGTATGTGAATCTGATCTGAAATCTTTAATTTTTTTTGACTGAAAAAATTGAAAATTGATTATTATATATATAATCTTAATTAATTAACATTTTTTCAAAAATATAATTTATAATTAAATTAAATATTTTATTAAAATTACTTAGCATATTTTAATTATGTATGAAATAAAATAAGTATAACTTTAATTTTTATGTAACTTACTTAAACATTTTTAAAATTGTTATATTTGTTTTTTTTATATCTAAATATATTAAATAATAACTAAAAAATAATTGATATAGTTAATAATATCTATAAATAATTAA